CCGCCCTGCTGCTTCTGGCCGAAGGGGAATCGCTCGACCCGGCCTGGCTCTGGCTCCCGGCTTGGATCTCCTCGATGAACAGCTCCCGGCGGATGCGGGACCTGCGAGAGAGGGACAGGGGGATGAGATCAGAAGAGGCAGCGAGGCTGTTATGGCCCAAATCACCAACGGGACGGGACTGCTGGGAACGTGCCTTGAGCTGTTTGATTTTCCAGCATCAGCCTCATTACATGGTTATGACAATGGGAAGATGCCATCAGCTCACATCCCAGGCAGCAGACAAAGAACTCAATGTTACAACTTACTTTATAAGTTTTTTGACCAATCACACAAAGCAAAAGCACACTGACAGTAGTTCTGTCCACATACCTTTGGCTAAAACAATGCTTGCTTATTTCAAATGCAATACCTTCACACACAATGCACAGAGCTCCATTATTAAGCCTAGAACTTCCTAATACCTCTCTAGATAAACTTTTCTGCAGGTTAGGGAGTTATTCTAGACTATTCTATTCTCTGTCCTGTTACATCCATAGGAGAAGTGATGAAGACCATTTAATTCCTAGTTTATAACCAAGAGGGAGCTCCAACGATCCATGTTAAGCGATGGGACCACAGGCCTGGGGAGAGTTTACCAGAACTTACTATTTTTCAGAGTGAAATAAAAACCTCTTGGTTTCAGGCACAGGGAACTGCCAAGGGGCTGCAAACCACAAGTGACACGCTGTCCCAGCACTGATGGCTGTAAGGATTTTCTATTTTCCCTTAACTGTGCTGTGGAAGACAGCACACAATGGAAAAAACATTCAGCTAAATGGAGAACACCACCTGAATACTGCTTTTGAAGCTATTGATCTTATTGACTTACTTGAAATGCAACAGAGTATTTCAGCAGTACTCGCTGACTCCACACTTCTGAAGGATTTAGGGAGTCTGTAATTTTCCCTAGGAGAATATTACTCACCTAACAGAAGCCCACAGGTGCTAACATTAATTTTCTATTACCATTAACTGCAGGCATCCTGCAACATTGATTATCAGGCTCTATTTATGCCTAAAATCTCCCTGCATGGACATTGATCCAGAACATGGTGCTTCTGTAACATTCCCCAAGCCTGAGAGGAGGCTGTAAGAGCTCTGCCTGCATGGCATTTAAAATACCTCAGCTCCAGCAGGTTCTGAACCTCACTGAGAATCTGACCACAGCCCTGCAAACATCAAACCCATGTCTGTGGAAATCCCTGGAATTCACACCCAATATACTGCTGCTGGAATCTGGTCTGGCTCCTGATTAACATGGTAATTAAATTCTTATGGTAAAGATGACCTGGTGGCAGCAGCTAGAGGATTGCAGAGAGCATTCCTCTTGGGAAGGCGTTGGCCTTGACATCCACACACCCTGCTGGATTTCACCAGTGGAACAAAAAACATCAGAGATCTCCTGGGTGTTTGCTGCAGCTCCCCAGACAAACCTTCATGCAACATCAGAACCAGCACTGTGTAGGGCTCATTGAAAAAGACACTCAGAATTTAGGGTCCAGGAGTGCTGGATTACAATTCTAGAAAGTCTGGTTTCATTCCTGATGTGTCTATAGTATAATTTCTGTGGCATACTGAGTTTATGTGCCAGTTTCCACAGGTGAAGTGGGATAGAAATTCCTCCCTCCTGCTTTTTTGTACCATTCTTGAGACATCAGAGCCTCTGATGTGTCCTGTATGTGCTTCACTAGTGCAAAGCAAGGGATATTCATTGTATATTCTGAGAGCTCTGTGACTGGTATGAATGCAAAGCCATAGACTTGGAGAAGCTTGCAGACATGTCAAAATCCTTTATACCCATTTATATTCTGAAGTGAATTATTTCTTTGCCTGCTGAGGATATTTTTTTCCAGCGTTTCTTTTTGCTGTAGGAAATAAATGCTAATGCTGACTTTCCATCTGGTGGATATAAAGGTAGATCCTGCTATAGCAACCACCTTTGGAAAGTGAGATTTGGGCTGAATCTGAAAGGAAAGGCATCACTACAGCAGGATTCCCAATAGACAGCAAGACAAACTTGTCCAAATCTGTGCCCTCCCTTATCTAAAGCTACAGAAAAATGAGTATTAAAGCACAAGCAGATGGTGAGAGATGTGGAACTGCTTCTGTATAAAAAACAATTCAGTTTGGAAAAGAAATGGCTGAGGGAAGAGTATGAAAGAGATAAATAAAGTTAAGTGTGGCCTAGAGAAGACTGAAATAAAGACCACCCATTTCTTGTAACGTATGATCAGCACAACAGTCAGGCCCTGCTCCCCTCACAGAACATGGAACCTGTCCCTTTACTGCAACACCCTCCACATGATTTCAGAGAAATCCATGCATGACAGCTAAGAAAATTATTGCCAAGGGGAACAAAAACCAGGTTTGTGTTTTGAGTTTTCATTGCTCAGGGCACCCAGGGCTCCAGACAGGCTTGAAACAGCTTCTGAAAGCCCTGGAGTGTCCCAGCAGCACATGTGGGAGAGGCCCAGAGCCCTCAGAGCTCAGCCCTGTGCTGCCCCAGTGTGCAGGGCTGGGCCTGTGTCCGGCTGTCAGCGCCTCCTCCGGGGAAGGTGCGGCTGGAGCTGGGCTGGATCTGCTAACGAGGGAGGCGACACTGCCACCAAGGGGAGTGGCTCTGCCACCACGGGGAGGTGACACTGCCACCACGGGGAGGTGACACTGCCACCAGGGGGAGGTGACACTGCCACCAGGGGGAGGCGACACTGCCACCAAGGGGAGGTGATGCCTGCCACCAGGGGGAGGTGACACTGCCACCATGGGGAAGTGACACTGCCACCAGGGGGAGGCGACACCTACCACCAGGGGGAGGTGACACTGCCACCATGGGGAAGTGACACTGCCACCAGGGGGAGGCGACACCTGCCACCGGGGGAAATGACACCTGCCACCAGAGGGAGTGGCACTGCCACCAGTGGGAGGTGACACTGCCACCAGGGAAAGGCGACACTGCCACCAGGGGGAGATGACACTGCCACCAGGGAGAGGTGATGCCTGCCACCAGGGGATGTGACACTGCCACCAGGGGGAGTTGACACTGCCACCAGGGGGAGTGGCACTGCCACCAGGGGGAGTTGACACTGCCACCAGGGGGAGGCGACACTGCCACCAGGGGAAGTGGCTCTCCCACCACTGGGAGGTGACACTGCCACCAGGGGGAGGTGACAATGCCACCAGGGGGAGGTGACAATGCCACCAGGGGAAGTGGCTCTGCCACCACGGGGAGGTGACACTGCCACCACGGGGAGGGCAACACCTGCCACCAGGGGGAGGTGACACTGACACCACAGGGAGGTGACACTGCCACCAGGGGGAGTGGCACTGCCACCAGGGGGAGGCGACACTGCCACCAAGGGGAGTGGCTCTGCCACCATGGGGATGTGACACTGCCACCACGGGGAGGTGACACTGCCACCAGGGGGAGTGGCACTGCCACCAGGGGGAGGTGATGCCTGCCACCAGGGGGAGGTGGCACTGCCACCAGGGGGAGTTGACACTGCCACCACGGGGAGGTGACACTGCCACCAGGGGGAGGTGACACTGCCACCAGCGTTCCCACTCCTCTGCCCAAGTGAGAACAGCACATTTTGCTGTCAGGACAAAGGGAACATATTTTCATAGGCATCCCTCCAACTTGTGTATAATTGCCTGCAAGTGGGAATTGGAAGAGGCCTGCATTTGGAGAACTCTGAGCAGTGAAAAGAGGCTGCATCTGTACTGAATTCAAGGCAGTGAAATCCAGTGGAAATATGATTACTTGATTTTTAAAAAATTTTTTATTGTTTACTATAAACATTATTTAACTATTGTGCATAATATTTCTGAGATAGCTCATTAAACTCTGCTGCTTTTGCTTCAGCAACTTCTCTGGTAAAAGCTGAGAAGGGCTAAAGTGAAAAACTACCCTTTAAATGTTAGGAGTTTTTAAAAACAAACAAGTTTAGCAATCTGGACTAATTAGGAACATTACTGGCTCCAAGTGAAGGAGCAGAATAGTATTAAATCTGGTAGCTTAACTATACCTGTTCAATATTCATTAGCACAAATTTCTTGGAGAAAAGTCTGCTGCATTAATTAGGACTTCCAATCCCAAGCACAGTTGATAATATGTTTATTCAAATCCCTATAATTCTTATGTGCTATTCCAGCCTTGTCTCTTTTTATCACTGTCTCTAGGCCAAAACCTGCTTCAGGGGCTCAGATGTGGAAAAGGTTTCTCCTCAAATGAGAGAGGAACTGAACAGACCAACATTTTGTTTGAGTGGGAGTCAATGATTTAATCATACTAACGAAATAAATCATAGAATTTTGGAGTGGTTTGGGTTGGAAAGGACCTAAAAGCTCACCTTGTTCCACCCCCTGCCATGGGCAGGACACCTTCCACCGTCCCAAGGTGCTCCCAGCCCTGCCCAGCCTGGCCTTGGGCACTGCCAGGGATCCAGGGGTGGGCACCCTGTGCCAGGGCCTGCCCACCCTCACAGGGAACAATTCCTTCCCAATATCCCATCTATCCCTGTTCTCTGTCTGTTCAAAGGCATTCCCCCTTGTCCTGGCACTCCAGGCCCTTGTAAGAAGTCCCTCTCTGTGGCCACATCTGACTTCAGGGTTATTGGTTCTGTGTCCTTCAGGACTCCATGAAGCTTCCCAGAAACACAGCACAAACACCTTGCCTATTTTCAGAGCTGGGTGACTCAAGACCTAAAAGAAAATCCTTTTTTTCCTTCTGATGCATAAAAATGACACAATGAAAGCAGGGCAATTCTGATGGCATCCAATGAAGGACATTTCCAAGTCCCCCCCACCCAGTGACCCAGGGACAACACCCACCACACACCCCACACGTGTCTGTGCGTGTGCACATGTGAGTCACACAGAGCAGCCTGGCCTGCTGCAGTGCCTTTATAAATATTCATCAGTGGACATCTCTACATCCACGCCCACCCCAAAAGCCAGCCTTTCTGTTTAAAAGCACCACTCACATCAATATGTGAGTACAGCTGCTCCTCAGGGATGACTTAAAATTAGTCTGGAGCATTAGCACTGTGTTAGTGAGAACCTCCCTGCTGTCAGAGCTGCTTGTTTTGCACAACCACCCAGCACAGTCTGCTGAGGCAGAGCAGCACCTGCCAAAGCCAAGCCCAGTCCTCCCTGAGGAGCAGAGGTCACTCACCTGTAATTGTGGAACCAGTTGATCACGGTGCTGGTTTTCAAGTTGAGCTGCGTGGCGAGTTCCTCAATGGTTTTTGGTGATGGGTATGGCTTTTGCTGGTAGGCTCGTTTGAGAGCTTCTTTCTCCTCTGGTGCCAGCACCACCCTGGGCTTCTTGAGCTGGTGCTGGGGCTGGGGGCTGGCACCCTGGCTGTAGTCGATGCCAGCGGACGAGGACTCGCAGGACTGGCTGTCGCTGACCGAGCTGTGCCGCCGCTTCATGTAGGCTGAAAGAGAGGCACAGGGGGCTAAATACAAATGCAGAATCAATGGATTCTTATCTATCAGGGTCTTTTTAACTTGGGTGGAAACTTGCTGCTGTGAGAGGGAAAGATGAGGGATAAACATGGAGACGGCAGGTGGGTGTCACGGACATATTTTATGAAAAATCCTTTTGTTAGGATCTTTTCTCTTGAGAAGCTGAGAGGCCTCAGAAACAAAATGTAAACACTGATTATCTGCTGCTATGGAATGCAACAGGTGCATCTTTGACTGATCTCATGTGGTTGTTTTTAATTAATGGCCAGTCACAGTTGAGCTTAACTCCAAGATTAACTTAACACTTAACTCCAAGATTCCCCTCCTCTTTCTCTTTAAAAACATCCCAAGATTTTTGCCCTAGTAGGGTTTTTTTGCCTCTATGGGGAGAGGAGGGAATATGGGACCAGTCAGAAGCTGCAGAACATCCCACTCAGGTGTGTGGGGCAGGTGGGTCTGCAAAGCTTTCAGAGGAAGCAGCTGTCTTGGACTTTTTGGTCAATCACAAGATTTTACTATCATTCTTTTCTATTCTTTGCTAGCCTTCTGATGAAATCCTTTCTCTATTATTTTAGTATAGTTTTAATATATAATTTTCTTATAATATAATATAATATAATTAATATAATATTCTAATATAGTAAATATACTTTAATATAATATATTATATAACAAATATATATAATATATATTACATATGTTTTTCTTTTAATATAATATACATGTCATATATATTATATATCATACTTTAAATATAATATAATAAAATAATATTTCTTTTAATATAATATATATAATAAAATAATAAATCAGCCTTCTGAACATGGAGTCAAGATTCTCATCTCTTCCCTCATCCTGGGACCCCTGTGAACACTGCCACACCACAGGTGGGGATGCAGGGATGGGCTGCTGGGAGGGGATGGGAAGGATGAGGTGCCACCAGAGACCAAATGAGGGGAGGATGCAGGAGGCAGAAAGAGAAGAAAAGAGGGTAAGTCAGCTGGAAACCTGCCAGAGTTTCCTGCCTTTACAATGAACGTGGGACACGAATGACAGGGTTCAGTTCACACGACTCATTTCACATTCACTCCTCCAAGAGGAGCGAACGCCCACGCAGGGCCCTGACTGGGACAGTTGTGCCTGGTTTTGACTGAAAGGGGTTTGGTGGTTGAAACACTTGAGGTGCACACGGAGGTGTCTCTGACATGAAGGCAAACACGACTGTGGCAGCGGAGCTGCAGCATTCCCAGCCTTCCCAGCCATCTCCAACACACGATGGCGCCTGCAGCCCGGAGATGCCAGCGATGGCTGAACCACCATCAGGCGTTTGCTGCCTTTCCCTACAGCTCTCTGCTGAGGCAGGGACAGGTTATGAAAGAAAACCAGCCCCCAGCACCCTCCTCCCCTACACAAAGCTCCTTCCAAAACACAGACACTTTTAGGAAAGCTCTGCCTGCACTGATGGGCTCGGTGAGGCTGATGGCAGGAGCCTGTGATCCTGCCACTGACCTTCCTCCCTGACTGGGAATGAATTATCCTGGCAAATTCCACAAGGAAGGAGTCCCAGCAAAGGCTGTCACTGACTTGATTGATTTACACTGGGCATGGGGAGGTGGGATTTACTGCACCTGGCAGTATCATGCACAAGCATTGCTAATGAGGGGGCTGAAAACAGCAAATATAGATGAATCTTGTCAATAAAATATTTAATGGCTGTTAAATACCTTCCAGATATTTAAGAGTTTACGTATTCAAGAGCTAAAATTTGATAACCTTGGGTATTAAATTCCAGATTACACCAGTCTGACATCAATCCAGGAGGCATTAAATCTCCAGGAGCCAGGAGCTCTGGTTGGAGCCAGGGACACTGTGGGGCCAGTCACAATGGTCAGCAACCAAATTCTTCAAAAATTCAATTTTTCTCTCCCCATAGCTCTGCCTTCAGGCTGAGGCTGCACAGTGAATAAAAAGTCAGTGCAACCAAATAAACTGCAGTGTTCAAACCCCAGCCAGTGCCTCGTGGCAGGGCTCCCTCCAGGCCTGGCTGGCTTTTCTGGCTCCAGTGGTTCCAGCCCCTGCCCTCTCCATGGTGCCTCCAGTGGGACCTTTGGCACTGTGGCTTTGCTATCATGGCAGTGAATTCTGAACACACTCTAACCTTTGGGGGTATCTGCATGGCCCACATTTTGTTTTTCCTGAATATGACAGATTACCTGAGGATTGCCTACTGTGTAAGATCACTGATATGGAACACAACGTGAGCTGCTCGTGATCCATCACTCTGACGTGATACAGTCCTGCACACGTTTGAAATAACCATAAAAAACAAAGTGGGTTTTTAAAAAGAAATCTCCTTTAAAAATCCACCTATTTAAGTTGTTCCAACCACATGTAAAACTGCAAAATTCTGCATTATTTCAAGATGACCCATTGGCCTTATTATTGCAGTCTTCAAGGAACTGTTCCAATCTTCAACCATGGAATTAATAATTCCAGCAAGATAATCTCATATTCCTATAAGATGTTTAATCTCAAAACTCCTTCCTGGGTGTTATTTCCAACTTGCATTGACCTGCAAACTACAGCCAAAGCTCCCTTGGTTCCTTGCACAGCAGAACCAAGAGGCTGGAGGACAACATCCATCACCTCAGCAATGGGCAGCAGCTTCAAGGAGGCCACAAGACAAACCAGAACCTGGCATGGGAGATGTGACAGGGGCTCAGACCACCTCCGACTGGAGTTTCTGGAATTTGGCCAGGTCACTGAGTCAGCATGAGATCAGCATGGGCTGGATCTCCCTTTGTCTGCTCTCCACAGGATGGGATTTCTGGCAGGGCAGAGCTCCTGTCTAAAGCAGCAAAGGACAATCTGGAGCTGTGAGAGCTTGGGAAAGATGTCATTCCTTCCTCTGCTCCTGTAACCTCACACTGGCATCACACAAGGTGCACTGGCTCAGCTGGGATGCTCTCATGTGAATGGAACAAATGATATATAAGCACATATTTCATTAAAATACAAATAAAGAGGAGGATTCCCACTGTTCTGTCAGAGAAATTGTATTCTGGAGGACAATCTACTATCAGGAAAAACTTCCACTGGGCCAGTGGCAGAACTAGCACTCAGACTTCTGGCTTTAATTCTGGTCACTGGAAACTTAGATGACATTTTTAAAAGCTTTTCCATTTTTATTTTTATTTTTAAACATATGTGCTACGTGCAGACAATGTAAGGAGATCATTCAGCACATCTGCAGTGACAGCAAGGCTCAAACTGGAATCCAAGCTGCAAACACACTTTATTTTTGGAGAAGTTTGATTTTTGTCTGTGACCAGTCTCCATTTCTCAGGAGACAGATGAAAAAAAGGAAACCCAGCTGTAATTTGGGCAAAGGTCTGGGTCTGAGGCTGCATGAATTCCACCTTTCCTCCCTCAATCCATGTGTGCCCAGCTATGGATGCCACAGACACCACTGCACAGCTGCCCACTGAGATAAAACAGAGCCCCTTTTAATATAATTTCTACCTTATGTGGTATTGAACAAGATTATTAAAAAGTGAAATAATGGGGAAATAAAGGGAATTCAATTTTCTCCTGACAGCAGTGCTGTTCTGTGAGGAGTGTGATGCTCCAGCAGCCCAACACCCCCGAGGTTATGAGAGAAATGAACATTTCCAAGGCAGGAAAGGTGTGCAAATGTCTCAGCCTGGTGAGCATGAAGCCCCAGCTCCCTCCAAAGAGGTTGGTTAGTGTACATTGCAAATTTTCAGAACCTCTTAAAAGGGACATTTATAGCACAAACTTCAGACTGGCGGAACAGGAAAAAAAAAAGAGATATGCAGTTCACCTTTATCATAATTATTAATTTACTCCCTTAATAAAATGTGGCAGAGAAATAATTGATAATAATGTTTCACTGGAAGCAGACCCAGTCGGATTGTTCTTTAACTGACATTAGCTGAAGGGAAAGTTAAATTCTTAATGTGGCTCTGGAGCAATTTAAAAGGTTAAATCACAGGATCCTTACCTGCATGAAAGGATTTTGTAGAAAATACAGGGCTGAATTCACTTTAGACTGCTCTGAGGACAGCACTTGCACAGTTCAGGAGCTCAGAGCAGAGTCTCAATGATTTATGGCCTTATCTCTATTCAGATGCCATCTACAGACCATATGTATTGCTCACTATTTGATAAGAATCCAGTTTAGAAAATCGTTTTGAAAGGATATTGTCAGTACCACTTTTAAATTATTTTTATTTTATTTTGCTGCATTATGGGCAATATTCTCTGTGAGGCTATAAAAATCCAGCTAGTTGACAATTTTATTCCTGCCATGTTTCTAATGCAGCAAAACTCCTCATGATTCCCTTTGGTTTACAGTTGTAAGTGGGAAACCCAAGTGGATTTTACTCCCCATGGAAGATCATCCACGTGCTAAGATACTGCACTGCTTTATTTTATACTGGTTACTGTCACAAGGGCTTGAATTTCTTCTTAAAAGCCTGCAAGAGTGTAATTTTCCCAGAAGCTCCCTCACTGCAATTTTAAATATAATCACCAAGTTCTTGATCAAATGTGTAAATGCTTTCAGAACATCAGTCAACAGCAGAGCTTGCAGTGTACACGATTAATGATGTCTGTGCTAATATCATTAAGGGCTAGCTCCAGAGATGTATATATCATTAATTAGTTAACTGCTGATAATGGCAGCCCACGAGTCTCTCTTGTAAAATCACAAGAACATACTAAAAACAGAGCTTTGCATAACCACTGGGTTTTAGTGATGAATTTAAAATGGAGAGAGTTGGATAAATTTGCAGGATGTACTTCCTACTAAGACACCCAGTAACAACTCAGAGCACTCACAGATCCATCCCCATGACCCTGTTTTATGTGAGCATAACACAAATTTTATTTTATTAACACAATCACCTTACCCCTCCCTATAAAGGCTTCAAATATCATTATTCTGCAATAGCCTTTTATAAAGGCTGCATTTTTCTCTCCTCCCAGCAGCCATCAGTGCAGGACTGGCAAGGAGCTTTCCCAGGAATCAATGCTCAGCTCTTCCAGCCCAACATCTGTGACCAGCTGCAGCACTATTAACTAATAACCCAAACCCACATTTCTCATTTGGTAAGGCAAGTTATCAGTGATACACCAGGGCCTCAGTCATTAATCTATAGGAGAAAGCAGCAATGATTCCCCAGCAGCTGGTGAATATTTAGGGTTTGGGGTTGGCTTTTTGTTGTGTGTCACAGACATCTTTTAGGAAAAATCCTTTCCTTAAGATTTTTCTTCCTGAGAAGCTGAGAGGCCTCAAGAACAAAGTGTAAACAATGGTTATCTGCTGCTGTGGAATGCAACAGGTAGAATTTTGATTAACTCATGTAGGTTGATTCTAATTAATGGCTAATCACAGTAAGCTAGCTTGGACAGAGAGTCCGAGCCACAAGCCTTTGTTATCATTCTTTTTTATTCTATTCTTAGCTAGCTTTCTGATGAAATCTTTTTTCCTATTCTTTTGGTATAGCTTTAATGTAATATATATAATAAAATAATAAATCAAGCCTTCTGAAACATGCAGTCAGATCCTCATCTCTTCCCTCATCCTCAGACCCCTGTGAACACCGTCACAGTTGTGTGTTTGTTTTCCTTTTATTTTGAGATGTATCTGCTTGAGCAAGCATCAAATAAAAGCTCAAAAAAAAAAAACCTGTGCTGAAGTCCTTTTGCATAAGCCTCATACCAGTGGATCAATGCTGCCTCTCCACTATTTCTGGAGGGTTCTAAAGCCAGGCTGAAGAGGGGAAGGTGTGAGTCAGCACTCTGCTCTTTTACCTTTTTTCTCCATGCGTTTCATATCCATCAGCTTCTCCACGTTGTTGGGATCGTTGAGCCACAGCTGCATGCGGACAAAGGGCTCCCTTCCCTTCAGACTCAGCTTGTGCCAGGGCTTGGGGCGAGCCAGCAGGTCTGACACAGAGCCTTGGGTCAGCCCCAGGATTGTCTCCCCAAACAAACGCTGACCTGGTGGGAAATTGAGAAGAGCATGAATGCGCTCAGCCGAGACGCGGCAAAGAACACGAGATCATTCCTCAATTATTCTTACTTCAGAACTGCTTCAAAAACCCAGAAGAAACATTTAGGAGAATAAATGCTCTGCCCCCCACTAGAAGGGTAAATATTGAGCTTTAGTTTAATCCTCAGGATCTGCCTGGGATAAAGGGAGGAGCTCGACACGTTTGGGGAGTGGGACCTTACAGTGAAACAGTGTGCAAAAAATAAAATTAGGAGAGGAAAAATAAACTGAACTTCTAGCTAAGCAGGCAGCTCGTGACAGCAGTGAGGTTACTTAGCTCTTATGCAGGAGGGCAGTGCCCCAGCTTTGTTCCAACAGGGCAATCCAAGCATTTCCAGCAATCAGTGAACCAAGAGCAATGCAACCTCCGCCCTCAGCAGTGGCCATATATAAATGTCCTCACAGAAACACGTATGGAATTTCTGTGCTGTGCTCTCTGTGGGGATCTAACTGTGCCTTACCCACTAGAGATAATCAGAATTTGCAATACAACTTTTGTTTTACAATCTCTACAGTATTTCTAATTAAGAATAGTTAATTTTAGTTCTCTTACAAAATGCTGTCATCTGGCAGGGTAAAATCTGCAAATGCTTGACAGTGTACAGTGTTCATATGTGCATTGCTGACAATGATTTTATATGGGAAAAGCCTAACTTATCAAGGACTGGGGAAAATGCCTGTGCAGCTCAAACCCAACCACAGAGCTGATTTTCTAACCCCCTTCACTTCAGTGTTCTTCCCCAGCTGAACTGCCTTGATACCAACTTCTGCTGCAGGAGAGCCTGGAGTCATCTGAGCCATCAGGATTTAAGATACAAGTGCTGCTGCCATGGCATTTCAAGGTAACCCAAAGATCTTTCCATAACCCTCAAATTTGGGGCTCAGGGATCTGCAGCTTTTGAGTTTCCTCACTAAGCCACAACAGAACATTCTCCCACCACATCCCAGCACTTGCAGCCAGTGGTAACCAACAGATCCCTAAGGGACAATGGGGTGAGTGGGGATTCTGACCCCACAGCTCTGCAGGACAAGCCCACACCTGTAAAAGCACCACCAGCTCTTCACAGCCTTCCCTGATGCTGACACAGACAGCTCATGGCAAATATCTGCTCTACAGACCCATCCCCTGCACCTAACTCCATGATTCCCCTCATCTTTCTCTTTAAAGACATCCCAAAATTTGCCCTGCTGGTGTTTTTTGGCCTGTATGGGGATAGGAGGGAATATGGGATCAGTCAGAAGGGCAGAACATCCCACTCAGGTGTGTGGGGCAGGTGGGTTCTGCAAAGCTTTCAGAGGAAGCAGCTGAGATAATGAGAGGCAGAGAGGGGAAAGGAGAACAGGGCTTAACATGACACTCTGCTAATAAGCTCCAAACTAGCCCTGAAAACAGCTCCTACATTCAGAATTCACTCAAGGTCCTGAGTAATAAGTGATTTTCCACTACCCTCAATATCAGGAAAATCAGACAAAAGAGGTAATTCAGGGGAAATTTTATCAATTTTATCTTTATGTTTTTTATCACATGTCTTGCTGGGGTAACCTGCTCCCTGTTTGTATTTAAAAACATCAGCAAGGCCTCATCCATTTCCCTGTAAACCTGCCAGCTACTAACAAGATAACACAGCCACTTTAAAAATTTGCTATTGTGTTGCCACATGAACAAGAGTATGGGCACAGATTTGCAAAAGGGTTGGGAATGAGCAGTGCTGGCAGTGCTGCTGAAGGAAATGAACCTTTAAACTACAGCCTAAAAATTAAAAATGCAAATGTGGAAGGAGGTAACATCGTGTTCTCTAGGTGTTAAGAACAAAGCTAAAGATGTTTGTGTTGTTTATTTCATGTCAGGATATGGCAGGACAGGAGAAAACACCTGAAAGACTCCCAAGCTAAGGGGGAAGGTGTCAGAAATCCTCCCTGGGAGGGAGCAGGTGTAACATGCTCCACATTCAGCACAGCACCAGCAATAACAGCAATATTTTTAAGCACAGTTTTCCTAAAACTCCTCCCCAGCTTTCATGCCCATTCCAACTGATGTGGATCCTACTGGATCTTTCATGGAAAGTCTTGACCCTCCCTACAAAATGCCCCATATGCCCTATCCTCAAACAGCTGAGTGCATCTGCTTCCCCCTGTGAGCTCCTGCAGCCCAGCAGGGAACCCCTGAGCATACCCTGACTTTTGGAGCTCAGAACATCAGCAGTGAACAGTGTGCTGAAGGCACAGAACCTTCAGAGAATGGTTGGGTTGGAAAGGACCCTAAAGGAACACCTTCCATTGTCCCAGGCTGCTCCAAGCCCTGTCCAACCTGGCCTTGGGCACTGCCAGGGATGGGGCAGCTGCTCTGGGCACCCTGTGTGGGACCTCCCCACCCTCACAGGGAAGAATTCCATATCCTAACATCCCACCTGAACCTACTCTGCTTCCCTTTGGAGCCACTCCCCTGACTGGTGAGGGGAGGACAGACCCACCCAGCTCAGTGTGAATTGTTCTGAACAACTGTGGCCTTTACTGGCTGGTGACACTGGGACACCTCAGCCACACCAGCTGCCTGTGACAGGCTCACAGGGCCCAGTGGCCTAAAGCAGAGAAACCTGTGCACCAGAAAACCTGGAGCACCAGCACACTGAGGGCACAAAAGGAGACATTGAAACTGGTTCCACACCTAATGCAGAGTTTGGGGCACATTTCCTGGCTCTTCTGCTGCTTTTTAGGCTTGTCAGCCACACTGTAGGAAAACAAAAAATCATGGGAAATAAAAAAGACTAAGTAAAAATGGCATCAAAGCAAATGTAAACAAAAATACTTTTTTTTTTTTTTCCAAACCTCTCTGGAACACCAGAGCAGGTACAGCACTCAACAGCATTTTGCCCAAAAACCAGGGGCTTGGATCTGCAAACCCTTACCATGATTTGGGGCTTTATCTCTACCTTATCTCCACTGAACAAGCAACAAGCATTCCACGGGCAAGGAATTCTGCTGGGCTCAGTGGCAGGGTCTGTCAGTGATCAGGGCCATTTCCTTTTTCCCCCCAAATTATGTTAAATAAGAACTTGGGACCTCCTCCATCCCAGTATTTTTCCCCCTTAAAAATATTTTAAGGAAATAACACATTATTCTGTGTCTAGATGAAAAGAGGCTTCCTCACATACTAAAATAGAGGAGTTTTTACTTTCACAGTCATCACATTCAGATGATATGGATGAAATTCTGCTCACATAAGTAACACCATCAGTCTAAATCTAAACTTTTGGTTCTATTTGTAGTGAAGAAGAGAAACTTCTGGGGAGCAGCAGCCATTCCCCTGAACAGCTAATGCAGGTGGGATGAATCCTTTGCTCAGACCCAGAAGCAGAGCAGGTAACTCTGGGACAGCCCTACTGCCCTCCTGCCCGAGCCCTCAAAGCATCCCACAAACATTCCCCAAAGCCTTGAGGGGCAAACAAAGGTTAAAGACATGAAGAATCAGAGATTTAGAGGCACAGTGACAGAATTAATGAGGATTTCCCATACTAACATCAGGTTATTCCTTGTGACTATTCCAAACAGTCATGGCAATAAAGGCAACAGCCAAAAACCCATCTGCAGGCAAAAGCAGCCTGAGTTTCGCACATCTCTAAGCACAAGAACTGAGTGGCCCTGCACACTTATCTCAGCCCATCTAAACCTCAGCTGAGTGTGGATTTTCCCTCCCAGCTCGCAGGGACACTGTGCTCCTGCTTGTGGTGCACCTTCCTCTCCAACCATGCTCTACTTCACCCAAAATGGGCCTGGGATTTGCAAGTGTGGGGAAAAAAGCCTCTCCTAAGGGATGATCTCCCTGGCTCTGGGGTTCTGGGGGTGCTGACAGCCTGCTGGACTCTGCTTTGGGAAGTGGGAGCAGAACCTGCCTGCTGAGCCAGGAACAACAAAGGTGTGATGGGATTTGAAGCAGAGTGTGACAATCTGAAAAGAGTTTTCCACCAGTTTAAATAGATTAGGTATCGTTTTAGCAAATTAAAGCTTAGGCCAGAGTCAAACACATCTAGTGTAGCTAACAATAAAAACATGAACACTTACACATGATTTTGGACCAGAAATGAGAATAAAGAGATTTACCAAGATTGTTGTCCGTGAGCACTTCCTTGACCCTCTTGGTGATGCCATAGGTGTCCAGCTCAGGGGACATGGCCACCAGTTCTTGGATGCTGAGTGCAGAGTGGCCTGAGAGTGGCAGAGGGGTCGTGGATTGGGATTCAGATGCAGGTGGCTCACTGGATTCCTGGGATTTGCCATCCTTACTCGTCTCTATGGCAGGGCAGGGCTGCTGTACCAGCTCAGTCAGGCTTTTCACTGATTCACTGGAACTCATGGGAGATTCAGGAGCAGGACTGCAACTGGCAGAAGTCTTTGGAGTACTTTCTGTAAGTAAAAAAAGAGAAAAAAGTCCCCACTTTAGCATAATTGTAATGTTTTGATTGCAGGATATTTAACTTTCCTCCTCATTTATATTCTACCTACTTAAAGAAATGCCTAAGTATGCAAAATGCTATTTGCTACGACTTGGGTACTAAAAAGGCTCTTTTTAAAAACAAGAATTATTTTCTAATTTTATCTTGAGTTGTCTCTGATTTCTTCTAAAGACAAGATGTACAAATACAAATAAAAATCAGGAAAAACTGAAGTGCAATAGTCTGTAAGTTTGCATGCAATTTCCTTGGTCAGGAAATCTCAGTTTTGCTTGTCACAACATTTTTATATAAGGATGGTTTTAAAGCTTCCATTCTAGACTGGTTTAAACTTCCTTCTGTGACTTGTAAGAAACTCACTCAGCCACTATTTTGTTCTGTCAATGAGGGATTTTCTACAACTGATACAACTCTCTATCTTGAAAGTGTTATTGATTTCATTTTGTTTCTTATCACACACATCACATTTCTGCAATTTTCTTTGTCCAGAAATAATAAGATTAAAATACAGTTTGTAATTATGCTGTATTAATTAAAGTATTTGAGAACCCAACATAAAGATATTGAGTGGATCAGGAGACACCCAAATCTGTTATTGTGACACTTGGTTTAACAAAAAGATTTCCCAATCTGTTAATTTGCCAACAACAATAGGTTCTGTACAAAACGTTGTTTTCCCCCCAATAAATTTATCTCTCACAGAACGTCCTGACTGAGCTTATTCAGAGATTCCAGACATCTGAGGGTACAGGCTGAACCTTTTTTAAAGCAACATCACAGAGGCACTGTGGTTTACAAGAACCATTCAGGAGATAAGGAGCACGGGTGATTTCTCCATCCACAGCTTTTCCCATTTCTGTGGGGCTGATTCCTCCTCCTTGCTGCCTCCCACCCATTACCAGGGTTTATGGCATGGATTCCATCCTCACACATCCCTGGCATGGATTCCATCCTCACACATCCCTGGCTTTGGCTCCAGCTGCCTGCAGGAGGCTGACAGAGCTCTCAGCTGCTCAAGGAGGAGCCCAGAGCCCGGGGTTTTCTGAGCCCTCTGGTGCCACCACAGAGGCTTCTCAGGTCCCATCACCTCTCTGGTTTTTGAATTTGTTATTCAGAATATTGTCAGATCATTCCAGAGCATGCAGCCTGTGCAGCATGGAAACACATCCCAAATGCTGAAGGAAAAGTCAGGCCCAAACAGGGCAGAGTGCAAAGGATAATGGTGTTTGTTGTTCAGGGTCCTGGGACCTTCCCCATGCTGCATTCAGGAAGTTGCTCTCTCTCTTCCCCCTGACACATTCACTTGAAGCTGCTCTCTCAAACCTAAAAATCTGACTTTTTTCTTAGTGCTTTATGTGAGATGCAAAAGAGGAAGACAGCAAGCGAGGTGCATGTAAATCTTTAAGGTAAAGGGGATCCTACAAATCCTATTTCTTCTCTCTGCTCACCCTGGGTCATCATACAACAGAAGAGAAACCCTGGGAAATGTTATTTCTGTATCAGGAGCAGCAGAGGAATTGTACTGTAAATTTGCCCTGATTCACCCATGCGAGGGACCAATTTGGCAGATCATCCATCTTGTTCACTGTACACTGTCAGGGATGGCATGAATTCCCCACATGATAAACAGATTTCTTCTCAGGTCTGTGTCCTTTAACCCACAGCAAGGTCAAAATTATGGCTGCCTAGCTAATAAACTGCACAGCACTCGTTCAACTTCCCTCTAATTTTGTCCCTTGTGCCAGCTTATACAAATCTTACTGAATAACCGGAGCAGCTGCAAATTTCCTATACAATTCCTCATCTGTGCACGGTGAGCCACACACACACAGAGGAGGAAAAAAGGACAAAATAATAAAAAAAACCCCAAAAACCAAACCAAACCCAACCACACAGGACTAAACAAAAGCATTTCCTAATGCCTCCTTCTCCCTTCTCCTTTCCCTGCCCAGCCTAATTATGAACACAACAAAGGTAATCTGTGTTATCATCTATCACTGAGATGCTCTCTGTTGCTCACATATTAGCTTATTTATTTTTTATATCACTCACCAAGAGCTTACTTGAATTTCATTTTTAAGACCAATCTGCTGCTCATTTACTCCAAAAGGTGGGATTATCTGAATCTAATTTTGGAAGGCAGTACAGATGACAAACTGCTTTTTTTCCCCACCAAAAGGCAAGTGTACAGTGATTTCAGGCGAGGCATTATGTACATGTACTACAAATAACTCAAAATATGTTCCCTATTCATTTTTAGCATTTTTCCCTTCTGGAAAAACATTTTCAAGATCACATAAATATTTGAGGAAAAGATCCATTATTTGGGACAGTAAATTCAATAATCAAATAATGCAAACATTTCCCGTTAATCTACTTAAAAAATTAAATAGACATTTAGAGTACAAGTGACTGCTGACAGAACAAAGGGGAAAATTGACTGTATTCACTATTCCAGATTTAACTGTCAATCCACAGCCATTTCACATGGTTTATGAAATAATTTGTCTGTATTCATTTCTCTCAAGTTCCTCACAAGACAAAGACACAAATTCAGGATATCTGAAAAATATACATTAAGATTTCCAAAGCAGCAATTGAACATTTCCAATGAAAACAATACATTGAAAGCTTATTTCTTTAAAACTTGCTCTGTTTTTTTAACCCCAGACTGCTCTGAAGAATAACACTAACTTAAAAGCAATCCAGTTTCTTAAAAGTAATATTCACTGGATGTTTTCACATTTGTGTTTAAAGAGGAAAAGACCATTTTGTCCATATAAATATAAAACTGTATTACAGAACATCCTGCAAACTCCATGGCCACCATTTATTGATGAAATTATTTCAATAAATTCCAGGTAAACTTTGCTATACTAAAAGGGTTTGTTTTCTAACAGCCTGCATCCAATATAAGATGTGAAATAAAAGCTCCAAAGCTTCAAAAATGAAGTGATGGAAGAGCTGGAGAGATCAAGAGCATCACCAGTGATAAGGTCATTGCAGAACCCTATATACAGATATATTAAAAATATTTATATAAAAATATATATAAAATATATATAAAATTGCTACTTGAATGGCAATCTAATGGCAACAAAACCCCAAACCATCATCACAGCTTGCCCTTTCTCCCTACCTCTTAGTAGCTCTCTGGTAAGAAGCTAAACTCACTTTGCAAACAATTCAGCAAATAGATCTGAGGTCTGAGTATTTTACAAACCTGATTGAGAACCATAATAGATCAACCCTGCCTTAATTACACAAACACAGAAAATCTTTTGTGGTCTTGCATTCCTTGGCACAGTGGATGAATCCAAATGCTGCTCTGGTCCCATCCATCCCCTGCACCTTCCCCACAGCATCTGCCATGAAAGTGTTTTGGAAAATGTCAGCAAGTCTGAAATCAGAGTTCTTGTCTCAGTTCATTGATCACAGGTGGTTTTTCTGAACTCCAGATTTTTTTATTCTTCTCCAAGACCTCCCAACCCATCTTGGGGTGAGGTCCCCAGTACTGGATCCTGGGACCTCATATTGATTATCCTACTGATATCCTGCACATCAGCTGAAAATCTCCCCCAGCACAGTCTCAGCCTGGCATCTCCCTCTGCT